GAAAGTGGTTATGGGGGTATAGGCTGTAGAAAGGGAATCCCCCAATACTGAAGAGCATAAGGAATTCCTCCAGATTTGGGGCTCTGTCCAGGGCACAACACCTCAAGATGAAGGATGCGACATACTTGTGTGCATTGGCGGTCAGTTGACCCGGAGCAAATCCAAAGTGGAGGCAGAGATCGCGAAGCAGACCGTGGAGGGGCAACCTAAATCCGTTCTCCACGGAGTGGTACTGCATGACCATATATTTCTGGGGATTTGGATTGTAGGATAAACTAATCCCCCCCAACGGCATCGGGATGATGGACCCAGAAGCCCTTGCCCAGGAGCACGGTCATCTCTCGAAATTCGTTCTCCTTGATAATGGAGGGCCCATGGGTCCAGGTTTCAGGATTCGTAGGGGCCATTCCGGAAAAGGAGACGAGGATTTTGGGGGAACTGCAGTCGGAATTCGGGTCGGTTAAGGTTCAGTGGCGAGAGGAAGAAGATGAGTCCAGAAGAGGGTTTTTATCCATTGAAAGGGTGGACCCGAGGTACTCGAGTGCGACGTTTCTAATCCGACACGAAGGTCGAAGGCGGCTCATCATTAGTTTTCTAGCGACACGTCGCCAGAAAACTAGGGGGCTTGTGATGGATATCGGGTCCGGTAGACCCGACTCCAGGCCCAAATGAAGGCCCGTAATAGCCCAAAAGGAATAAGATCAGATGGGGATGACGGGCCAAGCCCGTTATCTCGCATATGGCAAGCAAAGGAACACGGCCCAAACGTGGTATAGATCAAGATGATCAGTCCAAGGGAGGAATGGGACACGTGGCCCACATCATCAAGTTGTGGGCGAAATGGGAAGAGAACGAGACCGGAAAGAGGCGGAATCACGACCCCATGATCTCCGTAATCCATCTTCATTTTGTATAATTTTACTTAGAATATTAGAAGTACTATAAAAGAGGAAGACCCCGCCGTTGTAAAACAAGCCAGAACAAGACAGTTCAATACTCAATCAAAGAATATTATCGAGTGATTATATCTTCCTAATTCATATTTCGTTCTTGGTCCGCCATCTGATCGGGTTAATCCCATCAACAAGTATTTTCATCACTCTCACCATTGACGAGGTGGATTTTACCGTGTCCACCTCATTCTTCTTCTTTTCTGTTAGATCACTCTCGCTGTTTCTCTCTTCTCATCCCCCTCTTCCTTTTTCTTCTTCTGTAACCACATTTTTAAACGATGTATACTAAAAAAAGGTCTAGGGCAAATCACACAACAAATAATAACCATCCAAACAACATATCACAAAAACCAAAATTATCGGGGTACATCAAATATTTGAAACCAAGTATGTGCACAAATTTAAAATGTCTAAGAGCATCTATATAAACTTTTATGTGCTAAGCGGTGTAATTACTCGCTAACATATCACAACTGTGGCATTTGAAGACTTCCTCATCAAGTGGAGTGCATTCCAAGTTTCCAACAGCTTCATAAACAATATATCCATAGGGAACCTATACGAAAAAAAGAAACAAGAATAAAACTGATTTCATGAAAAAGATGCACTCTTATGAGATTTGAATTAAGAAACTTATTTCCATATATATCTCACTATGGATACTCCCAAGAAAAAAGTGACTAACAACTTAGAATCACATAGAATAAAAGTTTACCTCTGCTTGCTGCCTGAGGGTTTTCCTGACGCTTTTAAGAACCTTCGATCTCTGTTCTTAGGGAGCTTTGGGTTAAGAGAATACACAACCCTTCCACAACGGCACGACATGGGTATCATATTTTCTTTTGGAGAAATAGGAAAGGGATATGAAGTCCAAAATTCAAAAACATATATTCATTACAAACTTGACGTGTAAATCTAACTTAGGGAGTAGAAAATTTTATTTTACCAAGTCAAAATCTCCATTTCCACTTTCCAGATTGCTTGTTTCAAAAGAACTACCTACGACGTTGCATTTGCCCGAGACTGTAATAAGCATAGAATGATCTAAATTCTAAATGACCAAATCTGGATTGAGGAAAATTTGCGTACACAATTCTCCACAAACACAATATAGGATAACAGAACTTCAACTGAATAGTTGGAATAGTTCCCAACTTGTATCTTCTGCTGCTACTTAATTCTGCATGAAATTATAACTCTTTGAAAGTCAGAGGATGCAAAGATGGAGAAGTGGAAAACCTTGTCTGACTCAATGAAAGGGCAGTGTGGATGACCAAGTTTGATATAACTGAATGATCTAGTAAAAATACAGCAATTACACAACTCACGACATGGACGAAGTCTAAAATATTGAAGGCACATCTCTTAATACCTAGAGCACCATCATTCCTAGCATATGAATTATTCTTTGTGAATGGTACCTAACCATCCCCCCTTTAAAATTGCTATTGCGGAGTATTATTCATAACGGGGTACTATTTATCTATCCATAGACATATACACATGTGTAAGTGTGTTATGAGTGGATTGAGACAATGAAAGTTTCATTGTTGGCTTGTTGCTTATTATATCCACAAAACAGCTGAATCTTTTGTCCTAAATTTTGCAAATCAACTCAAAATTGGGATTATGAGATAGAAACAGAATCATGTTCATGATTGTTACAACTCAACTTTTATCCAAAACCTGTGAGACTGTGAGATAGACAAATATTTATCTAATGTTTGTCAGTGCTTAGATGACATCAAAATACAAACCCTCGATCTAATGATAAAATACTGCAAACCCTTTCCCTCCATTCCTCATGAATAAACATGACTTCTATTCCCAAATCCCACAATAGTACACAATGTGAAGAAAACATATGAAACCACTTGATCTATATCAAATGTAAAATGGTATTCAGGAGTAATATAATTTGCAAATCCAAGATCTTTTTTGAGACATTGATGTGATAGTCACGTGGCGAGATCGCTGCCTCTAGTCCCAAAACAATCACTCTAACAAACAATCTCTTGAATTTGACGATCTATGCTCTGAACCAATGTGAGATTAACAGCAAATCAAAAACTTATGCTTTCGATTCAGATAGCCTTCCCAACCATATCAAAACTGTCATGAAAATATGAGGGCAAGAATTTGTAATGTACAATTACAAAGGATTTATAGTTCTGCATACTAGTTTGTCCAGAGGGGAGACGAAGCAGAAACTCACGGCGTTCACAAGTGTTTGGGACAGTGATGTCCTAAATGTGGAATGAACATATCTTGTCGCGTAGAGTACCACATATATCTTTAACAAGGGCACAACCCCCTTGTCGCTTATATACGAGATTTTGTTCATGGGCAGGCAGGTGTGGTACACTGGAACTATGTGAAATCAAGTCACTTACGGATTGATTTGACTTCACAGAAAATCAATTAAGAAAATTCCCTTCATTCCTACTACCAACAACAGTACGGGGAGCCGATTATTAATAGGAAAATTTCAAATCACAGTTTGGACATCATATTCTCCGAAAGTGCATATGATGCCGTTCAGATTCAACATAAATTCATTCATAAACTAGGAGCATTTAATAAATCCAGGGAAGCAATCAAAAAATTACATGACATCCATTCATCATTTCCAATCTATCCTTATAATTTCTACAACAGGAATTTAAACCTTATCAATTAGGAACAAACTCCATTTCTCAGCCATACCATAAAATTTGATACACTTACAAGTTCAATCAATCGACGATCTCAGCAGCGACCGCATTCTTCATGATCGTGATTGTGAGAATCGCCTTGAGGCAAAACTTTCTTTTCCTCATCGTCATCGCTAAAATCATCATCAAATGGCTTCTCCTTGTGGAAAATGCAACATTTCTTAGAGCTTTTCCTGTTGAGGAACTCGTTGTCCACCGTGCCTTCCTTCCACGTAACCTTCTTTTTCTTCGGCTTCAATTTAAGCACTAGGGTTTCGTTCCGCGGCCGATGGAGTGAGGACGTAGATGAAGCGTCGCCGGCCTTCGAGGATCCGTCATCGATGGTGATGGTTAGGGTCCTTGTTGCGGTGGCGGACGGTTGGATTTGCCTCATTGCGGTCGCCATTTTGTACTTTCCTTTCTCTCGGCGGTCTCTAGATCAACAAATTTCCGTAGAATTGTTAATGCCTTAAAGTTGCGTCCTAATTACCTCGTCCTTCGGAGGTGTAGGACTTTTGTTCACAAACAGATTCCAAATTCTTTCCTTTTTTTACTTTTTCTATTTTTTTAATACATACTTAAAAAAATATACTCCTTATTTATGATAAATATATTATGTCCTAAAAAAGTTTCCAATTTAATTTATGAAGTTTGACTGAAACTATTTTCAATTTAATTTATTTAATTATAAATGTAAAATTAGAATATAAAAATTTTATATTTAAAAACTACATCTAAAGTTATACAAAATAAGAGGTGACATGACTATATCATTTTATCAAATAAGTGATAAAAATAGCTTAAAAAATGATTTTAGTTTGACTATGTGAATAGTAACTAAGAATAATGTTTTAGGACGGAGAGAATAATATCATACATCCAAATTCATAACTGCAATATATATCGTACAATCGTTTGCACGGTGTTTCTCATACATTAGTTAATACTCATTTATGAGCAACTGAACATTCATTTTTGAGCAACAGAACACTTATTTTTTGAACCAATGAATACTCATTTTTGAATATCTAAATACTCATTTTCCTAAAAATCCGTTATTCTTAAAGATGAGCATTGAGTTACTTGAAAATAAGTATCTAATTACTCGAAAATAGGAATTCAAGTGAATGTACAGGAAACATTGTACATTTGGATGTATGGTATAAATACTCAATTTATAACATATCACCTCAAATGCAGATATAGATAAATTCTTTTTATTATTCAAAATTGATTTTCTTATTTATTTATTTGGGTGATTACTTAATTAAATGATTCTTTTAATAGTTTTTTTCAGCATGACGGTGCCGATCATGGAGGATACTGAGGCGTAAGAGATGGCGGTATGGGTGTAGGAACAATTTCACCTTCATTATCTTTCTGATGGATAACCCGAAATGAGGGTATCTAGCCCGACAGGAACAGCGGCCCAACATGGCACAATTCAAACCTAGCCTACTCGGTTAGGCGTAATTGAAAGAAAGCAAAGTCTCAGAGGAGCTGCCGCGTCGGGACGTCCCCACACTCGACCCCGGGAGAACGCGCTCAGCTTTGGATCACAGTCAGCCGGCTCCTCGTCGGAAGTCTTAAGAGACCAGATCGCGTGTACTCGGCCTCAACCTGAGATGCTGCTGGACACAGACCACGGCGCATGGGAAGCTGCATGACTGGTCAAATCAGGGGACCCGCGATTGGACCCCTGTCATGCCCCTGTCAGAATAGTTGTAGCCACTCTATTTGTAACCTATCTTGTATAGCCACCCTAGGATACTCATTCGGTTGGCCCGGCCGGTCGAACGACCAGATCTTTGTGGGCCCGACACCGACTCGTTGGATTTTGGACTAACGGTAAGGAAGGCCCGTTTGTAATCTGTATATAAATCCTCCCCCCTTTGAAGAGGGGAAAGGACATGTTCTCATGGTTATTAATATTTGCAATCTTATTTAATTCCTAACTTGAGTATTTCTGATTCTCGTTCGATACTCTTTCGCCTAGTCTCCTAGGCCCCGGGTTCCATAACTCAGCACTTTCTTTAAATTAAGTTGAATGATTTTGGGTCCTGAACCCACGTGAGTACTATTTTCAAATTCCTTAAGCTTCCGCAACGTTATTTTATTTTCCTACTCCGATATAACTTGTGATGTTGACATTTTGAATCATTTGAATTATTATTAACACTACGTCAAAAAACAGAGGCTGACAACTGTTTATTTTAGTAGTATATAATTGATGTTTTCAGTAGTCTTCCGAGCAGCTGTCTGATGGGATGCTAGACCTCGGTTTAGAATAATTGTGCAAATCCAAATCTGACACCGGTGTTTTGTAGCTTAACACAACTTTGAATATTTGTCTGCTCGTGATTGAGTCTACGATTTTGGATATACTCAGACAACAATTTTATTGTGTTGTATATAGAAGTTCAGACAACTACTTAAAAACAACTGTCTTAATTAATTGTATATGGACTATTACGACAATGGTTTATTGTAGTTGGGATTGATGCGGTTACACTATGTTTTCCAGGTGTAGTCTAATGTTCTATTAGACAGCTGCTCGAAAGACCACTATAAGTAATTCCATCATACCTCTGCTACCTTCTGTTGTATGTACAACGTTGAGACTATTACTTTGGTCTTACCTTAAACAACTTTTTTGTTTGGTTGTATGCCGTCTATTAACACTCCTGTTTTTGTTCGTTGTCCTTTAAACATTGACACTATACTTCCAAACAGTAGTTGAATCTGCTACCAGACAGCTGCTCGGAAGACCACTATAAGTATTTGCTTCATACAACTTCTACGTTGGGTTGTATGTATAATGTTCAGACTATTATTTTGGTCTTATCTTAAACAACTATTTGTTTTAGTTGTACGACATCTATAAACAATATTGTTTTGGATCGTTGTCGTACCACCCATTCAAACAATATTTTGGGAGAGTAGTTGAAATTGTTATCAGACAGCTGCTTGTAACACCACTGAAAACATTTGCATTAGAGAACTGTTCTTTTTGTGGTATATCTAAAACTAAGAATACGATTATGTTTCATTTCACACAATTGCAAGTACCAGATGTCTGGCAGGTATTACCTCTACTAGTTTATATAGTTGTCCGTAAAATATTTGTAATATCAAATTAACAGTAGTAAGGCTGCTTGTCAGTCAAGCGTTTATTTGTGTTGCCTATCATAATCAGATGCTTCTGTTTTATGGCGTTGTGTTGCAGATATTCAAACTATTGTCATTTAGTGTTGTGCCTCAACCATTCGGAGTACTGTATTTGGTGGATAACCATGTTTTTTGTATTCTAATACAGTGGTCGTTCAATAATTCATACAACAGAAAGACTGATCAAGAAAGACTGATAAGAAAAGAAATATAAATTCCCAATACATGATTCAACAATCTATCACAATAAAACATACAACCAAAGTCTAGGGGTAGAACCATTCGAATGGCATTATGACTCATAAAATACTTCGCAAATTCAACCTTTGTTTGATTGTTGTCATCCTCGGTGTATTCCAGATTTCCCCAACGCGCCCACTGAAAATCGTAGGAAAAAACCAAATATCTAATAAGCCAATCATAGAAGTGAAGTAAATTCCAAAAATACAGGATGCAACACATAAGAACTGATTTGTATGAAGTACTTTATTCGTGATGACTAACACTAAAGAACTGACCAATAATTAATACTCAAACCTTCACTTGCATTGAGTAGTACACATTATTAGTGAACTAGAAGAGGCTCTACTTAATGTTAAAGTCTCTTCTGATTAAAAACACCAGAACTGTACACAAGACATGGCTTGTCATGTTCTTTTAATGTGTTCTATAGGGGGATAGTCTTTACCTTTCACCCACAAAAACAAATATGATTCAGCAACCATTCTTTATTTTAAGCAGTTTGAGTATAAAAAAATAGAATAAGAGCTTCATTTTGCATATATTATTACTTGCGCATATAAACATCTGATATGCTGCATCATATTTAAATATAAAACAAAGGAAAAAATAGCTTTTATGAAATTCAAAACCCTCCAGCTTCACAAAATAAAAATACTCTGTACAACGCTATCTTAAATTGGCTTCAACTTAAATCTGTGTAAAGAGCATGTAGCAGAACTTGAATTTATCCAGAAATTCAAACTAAAAAACACACTCCTAAATGATACACGGATGCAAAGAAACACTTAATAGAAAACACTCATAAAAGCGACATGCAAATCAAACTTTGCAATTCAGTAATGGTATGATAACGTACAATGCAGTAAATATCCCCAGAATATGAGAAAGGCACAATTAGTGTGAACCATCCGGAACAAGAAAAACTACATTTAAGACAACAATATTACCTTTGAAGCAAATTGAACCTCCTTATCCTGACAGATCTCTTTCATGTATCGCATTACAAACAAGCCACAGTCTACGTTCCCTTTTTGCATCGGGATGCCCTAAAAAACAAAAATATAAAGTACGTTATACAACACTTCTCATTCAACCTGCATTACATACTAAATAATAAGAATCATAGTACACTTTCTTCTTCAACATAAGTGTGTTCATGGTATTCTTGTACAAAACTATAGCACTATAAGGAAACCAAAAAAGATAAATAGAGAAATGTTAAAAGCAAAAGTGATAGCAAATACCAAAGATTTTTGTTCATTGAGTCACTACTTACTTATCAACCACTTCAGTCCACTCCTGACTATCTATACGCTGTTTAAGGGGGTCCATGTAGTACACTACCTCTTCATTAGGTTTGACAACAATCAAAGCCCAATGATTCCTACAAATAAAAACATATATGAATTATGACATTCTCACGAACTTAAAGAAATTCGCATTTACATAAGTTTATTAACAAAGCATTACAATGCAAATTGAAGACTAACTTCACAAGGAAGAAACAATTCAGAACATCAGTTCTTGACATTAACAACTCAAACATACTTACACGTCATTGAACGGTATTAGAAAGTGTTGTCCATCACAGGCCCCCTTAAAGCGATCAGCAAGCTTGCGTGACCTCTGCCCTATGTTCCCACATGCAAGCGTCCCTACCATGCCGGGATCCACGAAAGAGATCATCTGAAGCATTTTTTTTCACAAGCTCATACAGGCAGCTGCAAGGGTAATTACATGATAGTTATGTCACTTGTCCATAAGAATATTATATCAAAAGGCTTTTAATAATGAAAATAAAATGTTTGTGTGATGACATTCTTACTGGATGTATATTGTAATTATGCTTCCAGCCATCTCGCCACGAGCGCACAGAGCATGTATATCACTCAGAAAAACCGATAACTTCTTTTCCACCCCAAAGGCATCTTTATTAAGGATAAAAGTATGTGCTCTATCATCAGACAATGCTTCCTTAGCCACAACCATAGCCGTTTCAACTGCAGTGGATACTCAGGACCAAATTCTACTTGGAACTCTTTGCCACATTCCTCATCGTCTTGAACATGTGCCTTTTTTAAATCTTTTAGGGGCCTTTTTCTCTTTGACAGTTTTTAAATTGCTCTATAAAAATGTGCAAGTGGGTAAATATATTATCTAAAAGAATCAAGTAGACATAATAGTAGATATATAATAACCTTTCCTTTAGGAAGCACATCTAAGACTATCAGCTCCTTAGGCCATGCTACAAAAGTTCCTTTGGCTTGTTCAACAGTAAGTACTTCACCGGGGATTGGGACTGGAATGTCAACATCTAGAAAATATCAAAGATTAAAAACATGAGTACTTCTAAAATGTGTGCATTTCATCATTAGCTTATACATTCAAAATATTAATAACTTGCTCATGCAAACCTTGTATTGCTTCTGTAATGGACACCTTTGCATATTCTTCACCCAGTTTTTCACCATGTAGGTGAGGTCATCCATCCGGGAGAATCCATACACCTTTGCATGTGCAACAATATTGTCCAAAGAACCAACAGCAAGCTGTGCCATTTGGCTCTCCCCGGAATCAACATCAACGAAGACATCTTTTTCTGCTTTCTTCTCTACTTTAAGTCCTCCAACTTCCACAAGCTTCTGCACAGTATCAATTTCTTGATCTTCACTCTCATTCTTTTCTCTTTCTTTTTCATTTTGTTTCTCATCAGCATGCTCAGCCACAGACAGTTTATGATTACACTCATCACCAATGTCATTATTCTCTGTGAGTGGTTCAAGTTCTGCATCAAATGAGTCCTTTAGATTCTTCCTTGCCACTTGTTGATTCTACCCACCTTCCCTGAATTTAGGTGAGCAGCTAGCCTCTTGGGAAGGGACAGCGGGACTACTACTTCCTTGTTTCTTCCAGATCTCTGATTTCAACTTCTCTATCTCAGCCATCCAAAAAGCATCTCTTGAAGCAACAATGTTATTCACCTTCTCTGCCAAAAGTTGTCTCACACCCTCCTTCACTTGCTCATCAACCGTTGTTTGTGTCTTTTGCTTCTTTGACTGCGGGAGATTGAAATACACAGCCTTCCTCACATGCATTCCTTGACCTCGAACTCTGCCACCGTGCTCGGGCTTCCCAAGAGCCTTGGTCAATACATCATCATCACCTTTTTCAGTAAGCACACCAGAACATACTTGTTCCCTTAAGAACTCCTGAAAAGGAACCGGAATTCTATCAATAAAACAGAAGTGGTATAGAACTCAAAATTTTAACATTACACTAAAGCATCAAAGGAATAGCCATTGGATGAAAACCAACAGGGCTGCTGGGATTAGAGACAGACAGCAACATTATGTGCAAGAACTTACTAATTTTCAGAAATTATTCAAAAACTTACAATTTCCAGGCGGAAGACAAAACATCTCAGTGAGAACTTTAAAGGAAGAAACAGGAAGGAACGTTCCTGGGTGCATTGTCTAGCTAGTTACTGACTGAGTAGAGGTGACACACAAAAACGGACGTACAAGTAAATCACTCATTACATAGTATCAGTTTTACATGTACATCTTCTCCTTATGAGGATTGTCAGAACTCCGCATATATGAGTGAGTACTAACCCATTCCTGTTCCAGGTTTGAATAGCCTTTTCGGGACAAGCAATGAGGATATTTATTTTCCTTAATTCTCTTCACATGCTCATCATGGACTTTCTGCAAAAAAAGGACAGTTCATCAAAAAGGTAGTATTTTAAATAAAGTACAATGGAAACATAGTCTTACCAAGAACTCGGGGCTTAGACGATCAGCAACAAAAATATCCCAATGATTCTTCTCCAAGAAAGAGGAGTCTTCTGGTGTAGTCCTCAGCCTCTCAGGTTCATCTCGAAAGGGAAGAATGTATTTACATGTCAGGGTACTCTTGAATGGTTTCCACTTCGAATTCGCCGACTGCAGCACAAGTTTTTGTGCAGAAGGGGGTAGGTCGAACCCCAACTATATGCATAAACATGGGAGGAATTTACTAGTCTAAGTCAGTTGGAAAACATAGGTATATAATTAATGATCAAGTTATTTATTTTGTAAGGACTAGTCAAGTGTTAGTATGGTTATATTTACCGTGACTGATTTCCAAATCTTGTTCTTGATCGTTACCGGAACTTACCTCCAAGTGTCAAACCATATTGGAGCTTTTGTCCTGGCCAAAACTCCAATATAAGATTGCATCTCTGCAGTAGCCACACCATACGGTTGTCCCTTATCATTAAACAAAACCGTTGGTTTCTGTCCATTTATCTTACGTTTCACAACGTGGTGCATTGAAACACATCCACGTTTTCGGAGTTTCAACCCACCCCCAGAAGGCTTGGCGACACTTTCACTTTCTACTTCTTCCCGCTTTCTCTTCTGCTTGATCTGTTTTTGTACATTGTCAAATATAGGATTTGGCTTTGGGGTGACGGGCAAGGGAGTAGAATGGCTTTGCACGTTCTTTGACCTTGAGCCACTCAATGCCTGCACCACTGTCAAAGTGCTTGGCTGATCTTTTCTTTTTAGCCTGGGAGATTTTCGGAGCTTGGGTTTTGGGGAACTATGACATTGCAGTTCATTACGGCTTGAAAGAGCTTCAGGTTTCTTGTGCCTTGGAGAGGATCGGAGAATTGGTTTTTGGATTGCACGTCCAGCCTGCGAATTCTGTTGAGTGCTAGCCATATTCTGAAAGTGAGTGAAGATCAAACAATTCAGTCTAAAATAAGGTATACATCGAATAAATGCTGCGCATAATGAAAAATTGGGTTTTGCCTCAATTTGTAGTTGGGTTATCACTGTAACGCCCTGCAACCCGGTCTAATAGAATTGATTAATTTAATTAATTAATTACTGTTGCGGACCGGAGTTGGGGAAAACAAAAAGTTCTTAGAAAAAAATATTTGATCATATCATTAAATTCATTTTGACTGTCTGATTCCAGAAACTCAAACGGATCTCAATTCGGACCCGTTTGGGGGAAAAAGCGCGTACTGTTTAAGTCAGATTTTACATAACGGAGTGGAATAAAGATTTGTAACTCCCCCAATTACTTCCATGCGCCACCCTCAATCCATTCATTACCATCACCATTATTTCCTAATCATTTCTCTATATTAAAACCCCCATCTCTCCCTTCATTTTTCTTTCCACTTTGTAACTCCCAAGGATCACTCTCACTCTCTCTTCCTCTCCCCTTTATTCGGCCAGACCCGCAGCAAGGAGGACCTCTGGCGAAGCTCCGGCGGGTGCAAGGTTGAAGGTGAAGAAGGTCTAGGGCGTTCGTGCGAAGCGTAGTCGTCATTCGTCTGTTCGTTGACACCATTCGTTCATCTCGTCCTGTCAACCCCTTCATTTAGAGGTGAGTAGTTGTCCCTCTAATTCTAGAACATTTAGTTATAATCTATGTCGTTATATTCATAGGAATATCGTACGCAACCTACGTAGAATCTATGCATGTTCGTAGGTTAACCATCAGACATACGTGTGTCCATGTTATCAAGTTATGTACCCGTTAATATAAATTTTTTGAAACCTTGTAAGTTCATCAATTATTTAGCGTGGAAATGTAAACATTCGTTTCTAAAACTTCCAACGTTTTGATGACAAACAAACAGATAAAATGGAAATCAGCGTGCCTTGATAATCGAGTTACAGAATAGTACAATCGACTATCAGACCACGCTGGACACCGCAGTTGATTCAGCACAGCGTGATAATCGATTATCACATATGTGATAATCGACTATCAGGCCCTGCGGATTCTTGGGTCTGAGTTGGCTTCACTGATAATCGATTATCACATAGGCTATAATCGATTATCAGGGCTCTCTGAACTTAGGACTTCCCGAACAAACCAACTTGACAATCGATTGTCATAGGGTGACAATCGACTATCACAATCTGCAGGACTTTGGGGACAAAAGCTGCACAGCATCATAATCGATTATCAACAGTAGACAATCGATTATCAGCCAGTTCTGAACCTAAGGCCATCATGTTGAACAAATTTTAATCAAACACATATGTATGCGTTGAATTTAACTTCCTTCTTCAATCAATGCATTCATTTCATCATGTTCATCCTAGACGTATGTCCTAGGTTCATCATCATGTGCATACCGCTGTAGGGAGGTCAGGCTTTCGTGCGCCTACTATAGTGGGCCCGTCTAGGAACCTTTGGGATCCAACGGGTTTTTTCATCAGGTGGGCTTTGTGTACGTACATAGTAGTCAGGTTACGGCTACTACCCGGTTTTGCTAGTCCACTCGCGACATCTTCGTCGTGCCCGGCTCGTTACCGTACGGGAACGATGACCGGAGTGCAGGGGTGATCCTGTCGAGTGAGACTAAGCCAGGGGTGTCCCTGATAGTTTAAGTCATGCATCAAGTCATTTCATCATCATGTATGCTCCTATCACTTTGTGTGTTGAAATAGCCCTAGCAAGTGAAAACTAAACAGTTAGTAACATGTGGTTTCCCGTACATTAAGTACATGTATTAATATGTGTATAGCCATTTGGGTTATCATTAAATGTTCTTTTGTTAGATTCACTCCTCAGCTTTTGCTGAGCGTGTAGTTGTTTTTGCTACACGCAGGTAGACATGTCGGAGCTGGTGCCAACCCTGGAGAGCAGTGACGATGGGGAGATGGGCGGCGCACGGACGAGCTCTGATTTATTTTCATTAACTCAATTAATCATTTGGGCATGAATCCACCCCTATCGTTATTTAATTTGGACTGGACTTATTTATTTACTTCCGCATTTACTCTGCACTTTTATTATATACGTTTTAGGAGTAACTCCCTGACATTTATTTCACTAATTAAACCCAACCGTTTTCTTATTAAATAATCATTAATGTATTATGTAACAGACGGTTCTCGGACTGCCCATGTAACCCTACCGGTCCGTCGGGTCGCGGGTGAACCGGGTCTGCGGGAGGCGGGTGTTACAATTTGGTATCAGAGAGGTTCGGTTTTTTTGAAAAAAAAATATAACAAAAAAAACACACAATAGGTATTTTCTTTTCAAAAAGTCCACAGCTGCATCTCCCATCACACCACTTCCAGGGAAAGGTACACCGTTATTTTAATCACATGTATGTCATATTGTAATTAGTTCTGATTTAAGTTATTCCTATAGACAATGAGTCAAGCAGCTGGAATGATGGAAAGGCTGTCCAGAGGGGGAGCCTGAGAACGTGAGCGTGCACACTGAAGCGTCAAGCTTCACACCTCAGTAGGCCTCCGAGCAAGCGGTCCCGGGCGTGGGCCCTATTCCGGAAGCCATCCCTATCGTCCAGCCGCAGTTCGCGGCTAACTTCATGAATTTCCTCTAGCAGATGGCTAGAGCATACGTTCCACCACCGCCACCACCGCCGCCACCAGTGGCGGTGGTCACCATCGAGAAGCTCTGGAAGAACGGAGCTGAGGAATTTCTGGGCGATCAGATCGCCGACCCCATGATCGCTAAACGGTGGTTCGAACGAACCATCCGGGTGTTGGGGAACCTAAGGGTTCCACAGGAGCAGCGTGGCGACCTCGCAGTCGCATTACTTCAGGATTCCGCCTACGACTGGTGGAAGCGTGTGGGAGAAGACGTCCCGGAGCCCGTGCAGTGGGCCACATTTGACCGACTCTTCCATGAAGAGTACATCCCTGAGCACTTCGTCGTGGCGAAGCGGGAGGAGTTCTTGAAGTTCACCCAGGGTGAACTCACACTACCTGAGTATCGTCAGATGTTTGACGAGCTCGCGGGGTTTGGGCAAGACCTCGTACCGACTGTGGAGAAGCGGTGCAAGCGCTTCGTGGAGGACTTACGTCCTGACCTTTCAGCTCATTTGATCATTGCTCCTCGGAGTGACATCAACGCGTTGTACAAGAATGCGTTGGATTTGAATGAGGCCCTCGTCAAGAAGGCTGAGTTTGAGGAGACGCAGGGGGCGTCAGTGGCATCATCTCGTCCTCCTCCACCCCCGAAGGCGGGGATCAGTGGCAAGAGATCCTCCGCAGCGCCTAGCAGCTCTCACCAGAGCAAGAAGGTGAAGTCAACCCCAGCCCAGTCATCTGCATCCGTCCAGAAGAAGGGCAAAAGCGGTGATGGGTTCCGTAACCCAATCTGCGACCATTGTGGGCGCAGGAATCCAGGAGAATGCTGGTACACTCTGGGCTTGTGCCTTGGGTGTGGTCAGGCGGGGCATTTCCGCAGAGATTGTCTGAATAATCTGGGTGAGGCATTCTCGACCGCACCGGCCGCTTCAGCCCCAGCAGCACAGCCCACCCAGAGCCAGAAGTCGGCGGCAGCGTCAAGTCAGCCCAAGCGGCAAGCATCTGGCGCTCAGGCGGGGAAGGCCTCGGCCCGCACTTACGCGATGCGAGGGCGTACCGAGCAGCCAGCCCATGACGTCATCATGGGTATGTTTACCTTATTCGATACATCTATTACAGCCTTGATTGATCCGGGTTCCACTTTATCATATGTTTGTATGCTTATGCCTGTTATGCCTAACATTCTGAGGGAAGTTTTAGACAACCCGGTAATTGTGTCCAACCCATTGGGACATAGTCTGCGACTCACCCATGTGTATCACGATTGCCCATTAGTGGTCCAGGGAAAGACCTTCCCTGCAAGTCTCATTGAGCTTCCACATCGTGAGTTTAATGTTATTCTAGGCATGGATTGGCTCACCGTCAACCAAGCCGTTGTTAACTGTGGAGCTCATACTGTTCGACTGAGAGCCGAAGACGGTAGTGACGTACTGATCCGTGGTGAGCTTCTTCCGAAAGCTCCAGAATTCATTTCCTATGTAAAGCATTCTTGTGCACAGTGCGTGACACTCGTCAGGAGGTGTTAGGGGTGAACCAGGGGTCTTATCAAGTTGTTATTTTTGGAGATGGAATTGTGGAATAATGAAGGGGAAATGGGCTGGATGAAAATAGGGGAATGTGAAGGAGTTCTTATTGGGTTTTGATATTATGAAGAAGAGTGGAAAATCAGGGATGAAGGATGGGTTTAGAAAGGATGGGATAAATTCCAAATAAGGAATAAGAGATAAACACAATCTTATCTTAATTTGGAGCCAAATTAATACTAAAGGATAAGCTCACCTCTAGATTAACTTGGGGTTGAACTCTAGGATTTAATCAAGATACTACACACTCAATCAAATATTTAGAACCTAAAACTCACACTTAAGATAACCACTCTTAAGATATAGAATTAGGAATTTGGCTAAAATAGCATCACACTATTTTATGAATACTCAAAGAGTAAAAGGTTTTCAATATTCAAAGATGTGTTTACAATGGCAATAGGGCCTGGTTATATAGGCAGGGGGAAGTGGGAAGAAATACACAATACATTGAATGTAGACATAAGGAAACTTCCTAGCAACATCCTCTCTCAAAGCCTTGAAATATCAGCCATGTTTTAGGTCCTTTTATTGGAATAAAATCAGGGATGGGTGTGGTTGTAGGGTCTCCAATGAAAGGCAAACCAAGGGGAATGGATAGCATTCTTTTGGGCTGATTTGGGGGGATGTGTTCAGCCAACTAGGGGGACAAAGGGAGAGGATAATGTGTGGTACTTTGGCTGCATATATGAGGATTTATTTGGTGGTTAGTGGGGTGTACTAGGGAACATAGTAGGGACCATGTTGGGTGGATGTTGGAAGATGAATGGGGCTGTTTTGGTTTCTTATTGTGACCAGGGATTAAAATAGATAGAAGAGACTTTATTTTGGATATCAAAAGGAAATGAAATATATTTGGATGTTTAGGGTTGGGTTGGACGGAGTGGGGGTTGGCTAGCGGAACCCTTAGGTCAATAACGAGAGTTATTTTGGCCTTTTGGGTTAAAAGACCTTTGAATTATCACTAAAATGGATCATAATGTTTGAACGTAAGTCCTTTGGCTCCCATGATTGTGTGAGGCGTGGGGAAGGACCTGAAAGGGTTGGGCTCGGATACATCAGGAGGCGCCTAGTAGGGGGGACATCCCTACGGTATGTGACTTTCCTGATGTGTTTCCAGATGACTTACCTGGTCTACCACCCCCTAGGGAGGTAGAGTTTTCCATTGATCTTGTTCCAGGAACAGGACCGATCTCGATCACACCTTATCGCATGGCGCCTGCAGAGATGAAGGAGCTGAAGGCTCAACTACAAGAGTTGCTGGATAAGGGCTTCATCCGACCCAGTGTGTCCCCTTGGGGAGCACCGGTTCTGTTCGTCCGCAAGAAGGACAGATCGATGCGGTTGTGCATCGATTACCGTCAACTGAATAAAGTCACCATCAAGAATCGCTATCCGTTACCATGCATTGACGATTTGTTTGATCAGCTTAGAGGAGCCATAGTTTTCTCTAAGATCGATCTCCGATCAGGATACCATCAGATTCCCGTTAAGAAGGAAGACATTCCTAAGACGGCTTTCCGCACCAGATACGGTTATTATGTGTAACGCCACAAAATATGGCCTAAAATTTATTATAAAACAAAAGTAAATTCTGTCCAATTAGAAATAGTAATATGTTTGACCAAAAATAAATGGATTTTCAAAATAATGACTTTTTGTTAAAAAGTTATTTTTATGGATATGTCTCGAAGAGACGAATCCAACAGTACATTTTATGAACCAATCTGATTTATAGATTTCAAGTTATGTCAATTTTAAATATTAAAATTTGTAACTTTTGTTAGCCTTGGTTTGCTAAGCCTCATGTTTTGATGTTAACAAACAATATAAGAGTTTGATGTTTGTTTAAGTGTTTCAGGTACAACAAGAATCCATTAAGATTTGGTACTCAAGAATGAAGTTAAAACACCAAACTAGCGTAGAATATAGGTAGAAACCAATGTAAGGATATGATTTTATATACCTATATTCACAAGCTCAAAAACACTCACAAAATATGTTTAAAACCCTTTTATAATCATTTTCAAATATCCAAAAGGTTTTAAACAAAATTGGAAATGATTTGGACAAAAATGAAAAAATTGTCAAAATGGTCATAAGGTACCTAGGTACCGTATGCACGGGACCCCCCTACCGTGTGGACGGGACCCACCTACCGTAAGGGGTACCGTAAGAGATAGGTACCGCCAGAGAGTTTTGGCCTGAGAAGGTACCTAGCTACCGTAAGAACGGTACCCCCCTACCGTATGGATGGGACCCCCCTACCGTATGGACGGGACCCCCCTACCGTGACCGTTGGGTAACTGTTCCTGATTTGTGATTTTGAATTAAATCAACCCTAATCACCTCCCAACGGCTAATTAACATCTTCCACTATAAATACAAGCCCAATCCTTCATATTTCTTCAAGAAACAAAGCTCTAAACATCCTCTCTTTTTATTCTAAGTGTGTTCATCCTTTTATCAATTATTTTCAGTATTTTGGCTATTTCAAGAGCCTTAAATTCCTGAATTTTATACACACACTTTGAGCTTGTGTTTCTAGTTATATACTCTCATATTCATAAGTTTG